TTCAAACGGTCAAAGGATGTCAAATTTTTGCATCAATTCATTTAAATAGTTTGATTGATACGAGTGAAGTGGACATGGGAAAAATAATCAATAATCAAACATTATTTGGTTGGTGTGTTTTTCATAGCATTTCACCAATTATTTCTCGCCAATCATATCGTGTATTCAAAAATTATTTACTATAAAGAGTTGTGAAACAAAGAAGTAAAGGTTAATTTTAAACAGTTGATAAAATGTGATGACGCGTAACGATTAGAGTCAGACCGTTTCTAGTTGTCGAATAAACGTCCTAAGTGATAGGAACCAGTTTTGGTGTAAAATAGACGGAGAACGATAGAACGCCTTCATGGAAAGGTACATTCTGATATACTAAACAGAAATATTTTCTTTTAAAACAGGAGCATTTTTGAACTGCTTGAATCGCTAACCAACACATCGCTATAGAATGAAGGCTATATTAGCTTCTATGTTGTAGCAAAATCTTCACACCAAACGTTTAGACTCGACTTGTAGTATATAAATGTTCTTGTAGTATAAAAAACGACTTGTAGTATATAAATGTAAAAACACTGCTCTAAAATCTCTACACAGACAGTGCGCAACGTGATCTTGTACTTGTTCCTAGTCACTTAGTGAATTCTGCTTGTTTTTATTTAATTTTTTAACAACAAATAACGATAACAAATAACTAGGAGATGGGCATTAGATGTCTGACATGAACATTGCTGGTATTTTGATTCTTATAAAAGCCAATAAATAACGGACACATTTATTAATACTAATACTCAGAAATGTGGTGAAATAGCACGAAAGTTGAAAGTTGAGTTTAAAAAAATGATGTAATAATGGTTTATGCGTGATTCATTAATGAAACTTATTTTCTGGGACAATAGACAGTTGGCACAGCTCCAAAATTTGAATACATCCATAGGCGATGAGTATTGCTGGAAACTACATCAGATTTTTTTTTTTTTGCTTAAACATTGGCTCATATACACATTCTGCAATGGGTAAACATGAACTATTTAGACTTGATTTTTATTGAAAGTTTTAAGGAGTGCACAAATAGTACACACTATTTTCCAAAGCCTTTTTGTATTTGTAACATCTGTAATGAAATGAAGTTATAAAAATTGTATGTACGAAATTTCAAATATGCATATTAGAAAAATGCCAGATGGAAGATAAGTGTGGGTTATTTTCAAAAACGTAAAATTACTATATACACGGTATGGTTCAAATGTCATCGTGAAAACGACTTGTGTAAAATGACATCATTACCAGCCAATAGCAAAACTTGAATAGCAATTTAGTCTTTGGTGAGTGACACACTCTTCCAAAAAAATTACAGCCGGCTCTACCAAAAATGTTACCTTTGGTGATCACCAATGGCTGATCCGTGGTAAACCAACGGGTAATAGTAACTTTGCACATCCTCTGAGACACAAGCCCAATCATTTGGTGAACTCAATGACTGCGCTGTGAGAGATCAAGTCAAGTCGCTCGTATAACCATTAGAAAATTCGTGCTTGTGTGCGTCGATAGTAAAATGCAATGCAAAAGAACTGAAAACATGCAATCGAATAACTGAATATACATTAAAATCAACTTATGATCGACTTCGATATCCCATACAATGTAACATCCAACTATCACAAAGCAACTTCGCAAATTAAACATGGGATATAGAACACAGTTAAGGGAATCCGCCTTATCACCACCAATATCATATTTATTAAAACCTACAATTAACTCGATTTATGAGAGTAATAGTGACCAAAATATGTAATAGGAAAAGAGGGGCGAGTAACAGTGGTTGTCACGACTAAAATTAGGTTAAATTCCTAGGTACAGAGATGACATTTATCATTTTCTTCTCAGGTGTAGTTTGATCCTTAAAAACTATTGTGAAATTAGTCAAGTGCCCTTTCCGATATCTATCACTACACTTTTTGGACATTAGTGAAAAATACAAACGATCCAAAATGTTCAAAAAAGTTACGCATTATAATGCCATTTAACACATCCCAATTATGCATAGATGTTCAAACTTAGAAGAAAACCTCTTGCAGCAATATTACAATACATGTTATTTACACAAAACATGTTTCTATTATTTATCTAATGTATAATTTTGTTAGGCAATAATCCAATTTGGTAGAAAGGCTTTCTCTTATCCGCATATGACAGACCTGTAAAAAAAGTCTTCCTCCTACCTGCTCATTGAGCCGGGTTACGCATGTGACAGAAACAAATACTCATTACCATACTACTGATGGTATATGATTCTTGATATTTAGTAGCTTTTACTTAGGATGACACCCCGACCACGTCAAGGATTTTACGAACAACTCAGGAAACGATTGAGAAAAGTCTTTTGATGTATAAGCGACAAACTGAACGTCAACCCAGAATCCGCATTGATGATGTCCAAATATTATCTCGTCCGCGCCACACAGAGGGAAACGCTTTAAAAAGAAAACATACATATGCTGGTTATATAATGGGAGAAAAAAACTACAAATTGACAAAACAAAATGTAAAATAAAAGCAAAAACCTAAGAAAATACAAACGAATATTCGGTCGACCCACCGCAAGGTGCGCGGAAATGCTCAGGGTAAACGTCAGAACGCTGTATTCGTAGTTTCCATCTATTTTTCCATCTATACCCACCGCACGACACCACTACGCACCGAGATTCGGATTAGGAAGAAACGAGTGGAAGGATTGCTGGGGCTCATAACACGCACGATGACGGGAAATCTAGGTGGACAAGTAAGTAGCTATGAATAGGCCACAATGAAGTTTCAAAAAGACAGCTCTAGGATAGCACGGTAAGCGAAAGTCTTCCTAACGCAGAAAATTGAACCCGGGTCTCGCAGGTGACAGACGCGGATACCAACCACTATACTACCGAGGATCTGTGATCCATAGCATATTATTACGATAAATAATCACATTTAACATGAGGTTTGCATGTCAGCAATATGGTTACTAACAACTATACTATTCAGGTTAGATCATACATATCAATTAGTAGGTATAAATAATTATTAATAACTATAACAAACTAGGAACAATTCACGCCCTGCAATGATAGCAAAAGTGTTCTCCCCGGCCGGGAATTGAACCCGGGTCTCGCATGTGACAGACGCGGATACTAACCACTATACTATCGAGGATCTGTGATCCATAGCATATTATTACGATAAATAATCACATTTAACATGAGGTTTGCATGTCAGTAATATGGTTATTAACAACTATACTATTCAGGTTAGATCATCCATATCAATTTGTATGTATGAATCATTATTAAAGAGATTTAAAACAACAATTTACGCCCGGCAATGATAGCAAAAGTGTTCTCCCCGGCCGGGAATTGAACCCGGGTCTCGCATGTGACAGACGCGGATACTAACCACTATACTATCGAGGATCT